CAGACACCTGTCTGACAGGTGAATGTTGCTGGTGTACCCCTGACACAATTACACTCCGTGCTCTCAAAACCAGACACCTGTCTGACAGGTGAATGCTGCTGGTGTACCCCTGACACAATTACACTCCGTGCTCTCAAAACCAGACACCTGTCTGACAGGTGAATGCTGCTGGTGTATCACTGACTAAATTACACAGAAGGGGGGGGGGGGAAACAGCTTTCCTAGAAAATCAAGCGTCTCCTGCTCAACTTTTCACGACATAATTGTAGCAGAGGTGCCAAACACAGGTAACTGGAGCAGTAGTGCCACTCGCGCTCGGCAGTTTGGGAGAATTTCCTACGACATACAGAAATTCACCAAAATTAAAGTGAATAATTTCACATAAGAGGTGAACAAGTTTGCATCACTGACCTAAGTTTCAGCGTATAGCGTGAACCACAATGCATTAGAAACGTTCAGGCGTAAACAAACGTTATTAATAAGAGTATGTAGACACCAAACGGGGGGGAAAACTCTGGAAAGCCTCCTGTATTCTGTCTATTCGAATTATTTCAAACAGTAATCAGAAATTACTTCCTACTTTCCGTCTATCTGACAAAACGGTTCTTTCTTCAGGACTGAACCTTCCAACAATGTTGAATTATTAATTTATTTATAACCGGGGAGCAACAATTTATATTCACACGACGGCGTGCTCCAGGGCATTATTTCCAGAGCCGTTGTACTCGGTTTTCTGGCTAACGCAAGTAATTAAATAATCCTCACCGCAAGCAAACCTGAATTCTGTTCTAAAAAAAAAAGAAATCATATATTTGAGTTAGAAATCCACGCAGTCCATTGTATTCCGTGATATATACCGGCCTACCGAGCTCCCCAGATCCCATCGCACCTCAATTTTACTCGCTGTCTCCCTGCTCTTCCACACAGGACCTGGAGAAACACACACTGTCCCCCTAAATACCAGCCAGACATCTTACTTCGCAAAACGCAGAATCACTTTCTGTGCGATTTGCGGGGACAAAATTCGTATTGCAATCGCGTCTCACTTAAAAAAAAAGAGAGATACATTTATTCCTTTGCAGTATCGCCACCCCTCCTCGGTCGCTACTCTCTAACTCGTCCGCTGGCGTGTTTTTCCCCCTTTCTTTGAAGAATAAACAGAACAATACGCAGGGTTTAAAAGACCACTTGGTGTGCTAGCTTAAACCCTCCTCTCCACACTCCTCCGCCGCTCGTCCTAGCGAAAGACCGAAAGCGATACCGGACCCGAGCCGCCGTACAGAACCGGCACAGGAGCGGTGCGTAACCCCCGTCCCCCGCTTGCAAGAAAATTACACATTTCGCCAGAAGGGCATGCTTTTTTTTCTCGCACCTGTGCAATAAATTATAAACAGCGTTGCATTAAGCTACTCACCACCGAATGGTTGATCTATTTAAAGGGCCAGGTCCTCTCTCCCTCTCGATCCACCGAGCCCACCCCCTCACCCGAACCGGAGTCCACCCTACCCCCCTCCCTCGCCTCTTGTGACAGCGCGCTCTCACACAAACATGCTTTATTTTCCCTTCCCTCGGAGCGGACCGAGATCGGCTCGCAGGGAGGCGGGCCCTGTCCGGCCCCGACAGCCAATCGGCACGCGTCTCGGCTTACACTACAGCCGGGCGGGTTAGGCTGTGCCTTCCCCAGCGCCAGCGATTTTGGTCGAAGTAGCTGCGGTTTTATGGCTGCTTGCCTTCGGCGCAGTACTCCTTCCAGGCATTAGCCTGGTGTACTAGCTCAAACCCTTCATGTCTTTACGAGCTGTGGTCTGAGTGGCAGCTGTTCGTCCTGCATCTGGCTGAAGGGGGCCAACAATTAACCCAACAATCTGTCCTGGTTGAGATGCACACCTTCAAAGACGCTTGGAGCTTTGCATTGTCCAAGTGTATATACTGTAGTGCAGTAATTATTTTGTAGGTTTCCTTATTCATATTTACATTATTACCAATTTCGATTTCGTTATTTAATTATGAGTAGTAGTATTGGACAAAAGTTTAAGGCCTTAAAAAACGTAAGAGGTACAAATCACCTGCAGGTCAAAAGGCTGCCATTTCTAAACAGTCTGAGAACAGAACAGATCTCAGCAATATTATCTCATGTTTCACACAACCTGCATTCAAAACAACCGAGCAGCTTTCCCTGTTGTTAGCGGGGTTGCCAGAATAAGTGATTTTGCACAACCGGATAATAACGAGCTGGTTTGCTATCTTGTCACGGCCCACAACGATCACAGCAGTAATTGAGAAGCTCGCTACAAAGTAAAATCACGCACAAACATCTACGGCTACACTGGGAAGCAGAACAGGATTATTAGAACGCATCCAATCTCACGTGTTTTTTTTTCCGATTTTAGTTGCTATGGACAGTATCATTTCCCTTTAAGAAACGGGGTTTTGCTTCTGATTTGTCAACTGCAAAATATCATTTGCATTAGACTTACATTTAGCAATTGTAGCCAAGACAATGATTTGCTGGAAAATTTTTAGAATTGCAGATTTGGCGGTGCGGTGGCTCTGTGGCTCAGGATCTGCACCAGTGGCGAGAAGGTGGCCAGTTTGTATCCCGCGACCAGCAGAGGAATCCTACTTCGTTGGGCCCCTGAGCAAGGCCCTTAACCCCAACTGCTCCAGGGGTGCCGTAGAAATGGGTGACCCTGCGCTCTGACCCCCAGGCTTCTCTACCTGTCTGTGTGTCTCATGGAGAGCAAGTTAGGGTCTGCAAAAAGACCAATTCCTAATAAAAGATATGGCCAGATAAAAAGTGATCTGAGTTAATTACTTGTTACTCTGACTATCATGATAACATTTAAACAGGTAGAATGTACATACATTTAGGCTCATTAAAAACCCCGAAAATAAAAAAAAAGTTGGAAATGATTTTAAAGATCTCACCTTTGTATTCACATTTAGAAATTTGAGTCTTTATTTCAGGGGTTTTTGACACATGAATAGTGAGTTACAGTATCGTAACTCAAACTATGGATTATTCTGCCACCCTGGGTGTTTCTGACACGATGTTGTCAAGGGCAAACAGTGGATCCTGTGTCAGAGACCCCACTCACCCATATGGAGGTATGGTCAGCTCTGACAGGACACTCGTCACTGGACCACAGGGTCATGGTGTAAAATGGTGGCGCCCTCCCCTTCAGACCAGAAGGTCCTACCCAGCCGTGACGAGGAAACTCCGCTCTAGGTCCGGAGCTGCGATTTTCCAGCTGACCCACTGAGGTACTGACACCCCCATGGTCCTGGGACACTCTTCAAAAGAGCAGAGTGACTGACTTGGATTAATGACGATGCATGCTTCTCCATTGTTGCCATATTTAAATCTCTAGTTTTGATGTGCTCCACTATCGTGAAATAGACACAACACTGTTGCTGTAGAAGACTGGAATACTGCAGCAGCCTTATATAGTGAAGTGTTTATTCACACAAGTGCTGCTGAGCCAGACGCGTGTTTGATGTGCTGGTCTGGTCCCGAGGGCTGCAGACGGGGGATATCGATTCACACAGTGGGACTCTCAGCAGGAACACGTCTCACACGAAGAGATGGAGTGAACCACATTGAACACTGGGGGCACTGTTTCCCAGAATCTAAATAGAGCCTGGTCTGACAGAATACTGTCTCCAGTATATTTACAGTATTTATTTAGTTATCTCGCTTGTTATCTTATTTTTGACTACGTGAAGATAAGAATGCTATTGGTTCAATCTATTCCCAGAGTTCTTCTCGGTATGAATGTAATATTATTTATAGTGTTTCCAGGTGCACAGGATTTTCTGTGAAGTATTCTTCTGTGTAGAAGAACACAGAATCTACCAGCCAAGAGGACGTTAAGAATTGGTTTAAGTGGTGTTTCCTACAACACACCCTCACTTTTCAGATGTTGGCTCCACTTACATGTGACTGACATATGTCAATGAGTTTATAAAGTGATCACTTCCCACTTAATTTTCCATACCAGATAGAAGCATTCCTGTACACATTTATTCCCACAGAGAAACCAATGCTGTGCTCATTATTTAGTATTAGACAGAATAAGGATATATCCAGAGCAGAACTGACTATGCAGTAGCACTGCCCTCTACAGGACATTCCTTAATGCAGAACTGCTACTTACCTTCCACAAGAAGTTGAGAATCATTTCTGTTTTTATAATAATCATTTGAAATATCATCGCAAAAAGAATAGACACACACTTGTATATGGAAGCCTGATGCACGAGGTGGAGCCTGGCACAGTACAATAATGTTGACATTTACACCATGAGAGATCTGCATGAATCCCATTTTAAGGACTCTTTCTGTAATAGCACCAGGCTCTCCAGACGCGCACAGCACTAGGAATGATCTGAGTATACAAAGTGAATTTTGTAAAATTTTGGGGAAAAAAACAAGATGGATGGGCTGTACAATACCAGCGAGACGGGGTTCCAGAACTATTTCATTTTGAAGGTCTGGTAAAGGCTGAACAATCAACCATCTGAGCAGGCAAGGCCATCTGACTGCATTTAAAAGCAGAGGCATGTCCAGGCAGAAGAGCTCCCAGGCTTTGAGAGGGGAAATGGAAGACTAACAGCCTCTTCACTACATGCTGGTGCACTGCAAAGTGTATTTATAGCCCTGGAGAAACAAGGAAATAGAGATTGTGGCTGCAGAGAGTTAGAGAGAAATCAGTGTCTCTGATCGCCTCCCTGAGGACAGACACGTCAAGCATGAAGCAAACACGACATGCAAATACAAGACATGAGTCACAGGTCAGAACTGCAGTGAGCGGAGCTGAGAAAACTCTACCTAGGTGCTTTTCTGGGGCTTGGGGGAGATCACAGAAGTTAAAGCAGAGAGTAGGGAGTAGGTTTACTCCCAGGAAGCAAGACATTTATGAGAAAAATGATTACATCTGGTTTTTTTTTTCAGAGGAAAGGCATCTTATGGATGTATTACACTCCACCATTCAGCTTTTTCTAGTATTCATTTTTACATTCGGACTTACATTTGGAAAGCCTGCCTTTTTGGGATTCAACATAGTTAACTTTTGAAAATCATTCTTCCAAAAACCATATGGTAGTCCTCCAATGTCATGCCTATGTAATAAAACAATTCTAATCTTATGTGCTGAGGTGTAATGCAGTATCATACATTTATGCCTGTTAAATTCCAGACCTTTGTCCAAAATACAGGTACACATTTGTTGTGCAAACAGTAATTAAGATAACTGAGGAAGCTGGAATTGCTAACTAGCTAGTGGTCTAGCCAGTTGTATTCCTCTTTTGTAAGCTTGTCTAACTTGTCCAAGATGCTACCTAGTAGATTACAGCCTCAAAGTAGCATTTTAGTGCTTTTCATACATATATAAGCTGTCGTAATATTTTCTTGTGTTGTCCCTAATATGAATTGATGGAAACCAAACTAAAAAATTATAATAAAAATATATAATTCTAAATATTTATGATATATGTTTTGAGATTAATACGTGCATTTAAACACTCAGATGATTATACTGTATCTGTTTCCTAAGTTTGTTTTTTCCAGAAATGAGCTTGTTTTTCTTTACAAACCATCTTGCCCCTTTTTCATGGTCTAGTTGCTCAAAGCTGAAAAACAGAAAATTCATTCCGCTCTGGGCTCCTGTCACCAACAGAGACAAAGAGCTTATGAGCTCTTCACAACTCAGCTACGACTGGGAGGCTGGGAGAGAAAGGGTCTACTTTAGATTGAGAGATACAAAGGAAAAAATCGGTGCTACATCTTGACAAATCCACAGGATAAAGCCTTTGGGATGGGAAGGGAAAGTTTGTTGTGCAGAGTTTCTTTGCTGTTGGAAACCATATTGAAATAATCTCAGCAGCTGAAATATGGAATCAGATAACAATTATGGGTTATATCCTGTGATAAAAGGGATTTGATATTGAATGCCATCTGTCAGGAGCTCCCAAGGAGCATATGTAGCCTCCCCTCACTATTCTCAGAAACTAAGGCCAGCAAAAAGCATGATGTCAGGCTAATGATGGATTTTCCTTCTGTTACAACGCGCTATTCACCACTGAACCTCTCAAAGAGCCTCACACTGAATCGCGCAAACGATTCAAGAAATGTAACAATGTACAATGTAACAAAGCGCAATAATGAAAACATCAATTTATTGTCATTTGACACTTGAAATTTAAGCCGTCCTGGAATTCAGACACACATAACAATTTAGCTCTGGGTGTTTTGTTGAACCCAAAGGAACGGGCAAGGCAGAACGACTGGCCTGTGTTACACTGTTATCGGTACTTCAGTCTGCAGAGAAACACAGATCCATCAGCCTATCACAGGGCAAACACACAGACACGAACACTCTCACACCAGGGCCATTTTTCCAGGAGACAATTAACCTATCAGCATACCAGCATGTCTTTGGCCTGTGGAAGGAAGGCGGAGCTCCCAGGGAAAACCCACACAACCTTGGGGAGAACATGCAAACTCCACACAGACACATCTAAGGTCTGGAGTTGA